TGGAAGCATCCCCAAAACCACCCAGCTGAAGGCCATCATTGTTTTGTTTCAAGCAGAGCCATGCTTTCCTTAACTAGTGCACTCATTGCTTGGAGGGGAGGTCACCTGGGCATATCACAACGTCCACTCCCCTTCTTTCCACCCCTTCCTCCTGCAATGCATGGATGCAGAAATATCCCTCATTGGACCACCAGTGCAGCCCAGAGCATCCCTCCCCAGGACGTTGTGTGCTCTCCCTGCCAGCCACAATTCCAAGGTGCCTTTGTGCCTCCCTGCTCCATGTCTCAGCTCTTCCTTTCTCTCCACTTCTAAGCTCCAGAAATATTTAATCAAGGGAGGATTTACATTTAAACCAGTGCAGCAGGTGAAGCTGCCTGCTGGGGAGCAGTTAACCCCTTCTATGTGCTACTTGCTGAGAGTGTGCTCTGTGCACTGTGACTGCACTTGCACCATCGGTCAGCTGCCCTGTCCACGAGACTGCCTTGCAAGAGCAAGTAGAGAAATTAAAAAGGAGTAAATTTTTAAAAACAAATATCAATCTGCTTTCTGTCTCACTCTCTTCACAGTGCTTTACAAGTAATGGTTAGACCTAATATCTTCTATTCAGAATAAATAACAGTTGGAGTTATTGTGTTACAGCACAGCACTGAAATATCTTTGCCCTATGAAAGTTATCTGTAAAGCATCCTGAGCTGAGAGTGTGCAAGCTCATTAAACAAACAGGGTGACAAAACTGTTTCCTGTTCTTAAAATGCTCTTTATAAGCCATTATTCCTCTGCTGTTATATAGCACAAAATATCACATGCAAAACTTTGTGAGCAGCAGAAACCAGGTAAAAACAGTTCCACTTACTAAAAACGTTCCCTTTTTATTTTGACTATTTCAATTTAATTTTCCTATTATTTGCTTACATTTTGAAGGAACAACACCCCTCATTAAACCAGAAAGAAGAAGTCTGCTACTTAATTAGTTAATTTCCTGGCACTTTCTTCCCTTAAACAAAGGTCAAAACTTCTTGTAGTTTTGAAGCTCTTCCAGATTTCACTGTGTTGAGGGTATTACTAGAAAAAAAACCCCTCAATATAGCCAGCAAGAATGGCTTGTTTTTGATGAAATGGCTTTTCTAATCAGGAATTTGCCCCCTGAAAATCTCTGGCCATCTCTGTAAGGATGCTGAACTGTAGCTGAGTGACTGTGCCTTAGGCACAGGGCTGGGGCCCAGTAGATGGCCCCCTTTGACAAGGCTCCAGAGCTCATCTCACACCTCTTCCCTGCACCTCTACCCAACAGGAGCCCAACATTTTGAGATGACTATTGATTTTATAAAGATTACACCAAGCTACACTCACCAACAGTGCAAAATGAAAAATGTGCTGTCCTGCCTTCCTGATCAGCTGGTATTTCATAAACACATAATGCTTCCTGCCCTTCAGTAGGAAAAGGAAAATCCTACCCACATCACAATTTTTCAGATTTTTCTTTCACCAATAAAAAATGTGCATTCTCTGTATGAGAAAAGCTCCCTCTGGTTCTGTGGTATTACAGAAAGGTTTTTCTGTCTGAGTAAATCCAAGCTGTAGCATAAAATATATTGCATCAGCAGTATCATATTTTAGCAACATTACCAGTACTTCTTAAACTGAGACTGACAAACTCTTACATTGTCAAAGGATCTACTACTTTTCACAATCAATCCCTCTTCACTGAGGAATCACTAAAATAAACATTTTTAGTCTCATGGGTCAAAGGGGAATTTCTAGCCCCAGAAGAAGTAAAAGAAAGAGGTGCTGTAGCAAATCCAGGAGCTGATCCCATGTCAGGAAAGGTAATGCAAAGTTACACTGCTATCAATAAGATGTGATCAGGCAACTACCTTTGATCTGTCAAATGTCATTTGATTTCTATATTCTAACCTAGAAAAAGCTTAGGTTTCTAGGATGTGAAAAATGGCACGTTTCAAGTGATTCCTTGCATTTTCATCCCCACACCACAGCTATTACCCAATATGGTAATATTTGCATACATGAGCCAGACAATGCATTCTTTGCATGGTTTCATTTTCTACTCAGATCCTGAACCTTTGGGCCCTGATTACATTAAGCACATACTTCACTGTCACTCCCATTTTTCTTGGAGCCAAAAAATTGGCAAGAAAACTTAGAGGCATTTTCCTGAATGAGACAAACTTTCAATGAGAAAGACTTCAACTTCAGCAGGGACAAAGTTCATTGGCATTTAATGCTGATACAGCTTCCTTGACTGGAAGTTACACTCTCACTCCAGCTGAGAACGTGGTCTTACATCTACCCATGTCAAGAGGTACAGAATAAATTGATTTTGCTCTCCTGGAGACTTTACCCAAAAAATTCTCATTCTGGCCATGCTGTTTCTCACCTGTGTCTCTACCTCTGATTCTCCATTTGCTCTGGTTACATCTGCACAGGAGATTTAACTCACTCATGTCCATGCAAAGTGTTTCTATGTGGCTCAAAAATTAAATCTAGCTCTTAAGCTCTGGCCTCTCTGGAATGCTGGCACCCTGGCACTCTATAGATATGCCATATGGATACACAAAGTAGCCAGGGATCTGATCCCAGGCAGGAACGTGTCCGGAATATGTTTTAGTCATATCAAAGCCAGTTTGTTTATGTATGTCTGGCTCCCAGGACAACTTTTCAAGCCCTTCAGCAGACTCAAATCTTTTAATACCTCAAACTCCCAACTCAGTTTCTAGACATGTTCCTGAACTTTGTTCTCTCTTCTTTCTGGAGAGATGCTGAGTAAAGAAACTAGTCAGATGGCAGCAAAGTTGAAGCAGAGAAGAGAACCATTGGCTGAAGGTGCTCCAGTATCCCAGCTCTTTCCTTCATCCCTCTCTGGACCCAAGGCTGATGCCCAGATGGTAAGTTTAAGGATTTGCACACAATGTCCCAAAGCCTGGAATCAGAACTATGGGTAAACATGCTTTAAAAGAGCTGCCATGACCCTTGAGTTTTCAGCATCTCTTTTGTCTTGCCCTTCCTTTCCCAGAAGAGCCCTGGAAGTAGGGGCTCCTTATTTATAGTGCCCCTGACTTTCACACTGGTCTTCAAGCAACTCTTTCTGGAAACATGCTTTTTTCCCCCATCTAAGCAAGGAATGTTGCAGCAATTTAATTTTTTTTTAAATTTATTTTTAAAGTGAAATATGTTACACTGTCCTGTGAACCACTGCATTCATGGCAAGGCTGACTTTGAGAGGCACTGAGCCCTTACTGCCCAGTGGTTTCACTAGCACAGAGAGAGGAATGGGAAATAGTGGTGGCTGTTGGGAAGCATGTTGGAATTCCAGCCTGAATCATATGGCTTTTTTAAACTGATTCTTAGCTCCTGGAGGCCAAATGTGTCACATCTGCTCTGTGCACATTTGCAGGCTTCACTTATCACCACACTGCAAAGATGCAGAGATACAGAGAGGTATCTCTGGTGATTAAAGGAAAATCTGTCATGGAGTGTGTTCTAAATAAGTAAAAAAATAATCCTCTCTCAACAACACTGGAAGGATAAGGTTAAAAGTTTCCTATCTCAGTTACCAATATAGAGAGATGGTATAATTATTCAGCTGTTTGCAAAGCTACTTCTCTACATCTTATAAAGCAGAGTGACATCTTGTGACTGGCATCAGATGGGAAACCCAGAGCACTTGCATGTGATGAAAGGTGCTGAAAGGACAGTCCCAGAAAATTAAATTCTTTCTGCTCCACAAGGGATGATAAACAATGGCATCAGTCCTGGGCTGAGCTGCTCACTTGGATGAGTTAATTCTCTGAGGAGCAAACTCAGCCCCACTTTCTATCCTCATCTATACCTCTCTGCAGAGTCAGAGAGAAAGCAGTTTCTGCCACTTTTACTATATTCAAGAATATTTTGGCAACACAATCAAGATTGAGCAACTCTTGCAATATATTTATCATTATTGAGTATTTATGACAGAACCACTGTTTTTGAGAGCTTTTAAAAGAAAGCATGGAAGACACATATGAAAGATGTCATTTACTGCTCTTAAAGATGCCTGGTTCACTTAGAAAGAGAAAAGGCAAATTTAAGGTCCCTTCCTTCTAAGCCCTTCTTTCTGTCCTTGTTTTAAACAGATGTCTAACTTACAGAGGCTCATCACCACAGGCTAGCTCAAGTCTTCTTTCCACAAAAAGGAGACAGAAAAACTGGTCTTTCCTCTCACAGATGAGATACTATGGTAAGGAGAGACTACTTCACTTCTCCAAGGCAACACAGCAGATGTACAGCACAGAAGGGAGCATCACCTGAATCTGCAGAGTCCTCAAACATAGCCCCTGGAACCACTTCTGTGTCAGAACCCAGGACATTCCTCTGACTGCCCTGGAGGACTCGAGACTCTGGCAGGGAGCTCAGAGACCTTGGCATGCAGTCAAAGACACCTGTGCCTTGGATTTTAACCCATGGAAACAATTACCAACTTTGTGCGAAGAGTTACAAGCCACAAGAGTTTGAATAGAATGATGGTGAATTCATCACGGGGTGAAAATGTAGAATTTTGGGGTTTTTAAAATGGGAGTTCAAGAGGCCAGATGAAGGAATCTCAGTGTGTACTTCTTTCTCCTTCTTGCTCTTGCCCTCCATCTTCTGCTGTGATGGTGGGACTTTTGGATTGGTTTAGAGTAGAGACAGACTGTCTAACATAGGCGATAGGTACTGGAAAATTATTGTAAATAAAGTACATGTAGGTTTTAGTATAAAAAGGTAACACCACCCTGAGGGCGGTCAGTGTGCCTCAACCTGACTAGACGGACCTCTGCAGGTCAGAAAACAGAAATAATAAAAAATAAACAACCTTGAAAACCAGAGCTGACGAATCCCAACTTCTTCGAGCATGGGGCTGGAAAAAGAGACTTTGAATACCTCGGGATACATTCCAACAACAACAAACCCGTCACTTCCACACCCCTCTCTCCTTCCCCTGCACACAGAGAGCAGCAGCTCACCTGGTGGGTGCATGCTTCTGCTCTTCCTCCTCGTCCGTGTCGCTGCTGATGGTGATGACGCTGACGGCGGGGCTGGGGGTGTCGGGGATGACGATGGTTTGCCGCTGCCGCTCCCGCGCGCCGCCGCCCGCGTCGCCCCAGCCGCACGTCAGCGAGGTGCTGCAGGCAGGGCTGGTGTGCGCCATGGCACAGCGGGGAGGCGTGTTCTCCTTCACGCGCTTCGACCGCTGGGGCGAGCTGATGGACTGGGAGGATGAAACTTCATACGTGGATGCATTGCTGGAAAGGGGGGAAAAGTGTTAGTTGGTTACAAATCTGCATGATCGAGTCGCCCATCGCCGTGCTTTGGGAGTCCTGGTGTCTGGGTCGGTAGCGCTGATTTATGGAGTCTAGGGAAACTGCAAACTTCTTCAAAGAAGACAGTGCCTTGCATCACTTATTCATGTAATTGCCTGAAAAGCAGTTTCTTTTAATAAAAAATTCAAATTTGCTTTCCCTGGAAATTTCCAGATAAGAACTGCTGCCTCAGAAGCTTGCACTGGGAGGGTAAAGGCCAGCCACAAAGCCCAGACCTACAGAACAAAGGCAGGCACAGCACGGCTGACACAGGAGGAAGAACCATCCAAATGATAATCCCTTCCTCCTCCATCCTACATGGATGCATCACAACCAGATACTTTTTCGCCAGAAAAAAACAGAGATAAAATTAGAATTTCTTGTGGAAAACTACAAACACTTATCAGGACAATTGCTTTTTTAAACACAACTGAATTGCTGTTTAAGAATCTTTTTCAATGAACATTTCCTGCTCAATACTTTATCCTCTAGGACAGTGGTGTCCCACGGATTACAGCAGGCAGATGGGAGGACATATACTCAGTTTCATTCCTGTGTGAAGCAGCATACAACATCTATAATTCAGAATGAAATAAACAATATATTTATTACACAGTAGAGAAACATTCCCAGTCTTCCTGCTTCAGCTTCCCTGCCTGACCAGTTGGAAAAGTGACACTTGGATCAGGGATCCAAACACAAAACTATCAGCCAAACAGTGCAGTGTGGGTCTACAGATGGGGTTATTTACCAAAGCACACTGACTAAAGCCCATTTCACTCATTTCCCACACTTCCTTTCTTGGTCGTGTTTCTTTTTGCTATTGCAGAACATCTGGAGACTCAAAAAGAAGAAAACCCCAAAGTTCTGGTTTTGTTCTACTGTGGGGCCTGGGCTGCATGTTCAGCCTGGCCCGAAAGCTAACAAAAGGAATAGGTGGCATCCATCAAAAGGAAGTCATCCTGGCAGTATATCACACTACACCAACTTACACAGGCTCTTTTGCATAACAAATGGCTGCACAGTAGCATTCAAAGTGCTTTTTGAATACCAATGAGCAGCATGGAGTACCCTCCTCTCCAAAGGAGCAGGGTTCCTCATTTGGCACAAAGAGAGTCACAGTCAATGAAGCTGTAGAATCCCTTTGCTCTGAGAGTGCCCCATTCCTCCTGGACACAGCCACCCCACCCTGAAGTGACAGGAGAGGGGAGGCCCTGCACAGGCACACTGGCTGACACAGGCACTCTCTTTTGCTGGCTAGCTGGGGACAGAGCTGCCTCTCTGTGTTATGAATAGACTAAGACAGCTGGAGCCCATCCAAAGTAAATCCAACATTAGAGAGCAGATAAATGGGAAGGATTTAAATAGTGGCCTCTTAACTTGAGTTGAACTGGTTGTGAACTCAGAGCCACTCTGGCACCAGTCCAGTCACCCAGGAAAACCACAAGCTCAAGCTTTTGCCACTGCACCAGTGGTGACCCATTTTGGTTCTCTCCCCTGTTTTGTGTTTTTTGATTTTAAAAAAGAAGTGTGCTAGTTGCACAGCCCAGAGGATGTTCTCCAGAGCAGCTGCACATGCATCTTTAAGAGCCCTGTCCTCTGAACAGGATTACAGTGCTGCGACAGGCACTGCAACCATCTTACCATCCGAGCTGTGCAAGAAACCCCAGAGTTTCTCCTCGTTCCAGAGAGAGCCAAATGGTCCTACTGAGAGATGACAGATGCTAAGGACTGCTCTGTATGAGATAACCTTATAAAATGCTCCCTGGTTTATGCTGCCATACCTGTAATAAGGCCAGGGTATAATAATTGGTGTCTGTTGCTGGTGGGACTGTTGAACACAGGGGCTAAGGACCTGTGTTAGGAGCTGGAGAGCTCAGGTGGCCTAAAGTCCTCCACTCCCTGTGGCAGTAAAGGTCAGAAGACTGGCATCACCCCACTGCTTTTGAAAGGGCAGATCTTGCGTGTGCACATCAGGCACAGGCTCCTGAAGATGCAGCCTCCTCAAGGTGCATGTGCTGCACTGTGGAGGCCCTGGAGGGGCTACTCCTAAGTTACACCCCAGTGGCTCCTTCTCCTGTTCCTATGCCTGAACACAGGTGTTCCTGAGGCTCTCCCTCCCCTTTCCCTGATTGGGTCTCACCTTGATACTGCCTGGAGACCAAGATCAGCTGGGAGGCCCCTGGGAGGGAGAGCAGGACCTCTGTGGGGGGGGAGTGGATGTCTGAGAGGAGAACATATGACTGCATGGCTGAATTAAACATCTATGGATATTAAGGAAACACCTTTTTTGCTTCTTTACCCTGGACTTTACTACCAGCAATTCAAGCTGCAACACTGCACCTCAGGAGTGCTTCTTCCAGAGGACATGGGAAAAACAGGTGTGGCAATTGGGCACTGCATCACACTGACCTGAGAATATGGTTATGTTTTAAAATCATAACTACAAGGCTCTGGGTAATTGCAGTAACAAACAGTAAAAAACAGTAACAAGCTGTATGAACAGGGCTTGAGCCTCCCATTCTGCATCCTCTCCAGCCACTCCCTTCCACACAAAATGATGCTCACTGGGTATAAAACAACTCCTGGGTACCAAAGAGGTGAGGCAGTGGAGAGCCCCATCACAGAATGTGTGATCTAATCCCTCTCTGGCTGTGGAACTAAACCTGTTTTGCCCTCCAAGTGTCAGCAATCACTCCTGCTGCCAGCAGGTCAGAAGGGGCCGGGCTGGGAGCCCCAGCACTCACCGTGGAGCTGACTGGTGCTGCTTGCTCTTCCTGGCGGAGGCAGCGGCGGGCGGCTGGCGCATGACGTGCGCGACGCCCACGTTGACGGGCTGGGCGGCGGGCAGGGCCACGTGGCTGGCCAGCAGCGTGGGCTGCTGCATGATGGGGTTGTAGTGGCTGCCGTGGGCGTGCGTGTTCCTGCACAGCGGGGACACGGGCACACGGTGAGATTGCAACCGGCAGGCTCCTCCACGCAGCCTCCCACCACCCTTCACTGAGGTGCCCTCTTCTCCAGGGCATACTGGGTTTCCCAGCCTTCCCACAATAGAGCATTTTACCCAGGAAACAGACTGACAGAGTGGTGTGGGCCTGTTGGGTTCCCAGCTTTCCCAAGACAGCCTTCTCCCCAGTGAACAGACTGAAAGAGCGGCGTGGGCCTGCTGGGTTCCCAGCCTTCCCAGGATGGAGCCTTTTCCCCATGGAACAGACTGAAGTAGCGGTGTTGGCCTGTTGGATTCCCAGCCTTCCCAGGACAGAGCCTTTTCCCCATGGAACAGACTGAAGGAGCGGTGTGGGCACAGCGTTCCACTCCAAGGGCATGGAGCAAAGAAGTCTCCCACAGCTATCAGACGTAGTGTCACAGGCTGCCGCCCTTCTCCCCTCAGCCCTGCAGCCTAGCAAAACCCCAGCCCTCATGGCTCCTCCAGCCCCTGCGGGTGCTTCAGGGCTCCTCCAAGCCTCCCCAGTTTACCTCCAGTCTGCCAGCGGCTGGGTGCCTGCCATGGACTCCGGGATGACGGTGGCGTGCTGGACAGATGTGTGGGTGGCCACTCCGGTCAGCTGCTGCCAGGCAGGAGGGAGCAGGATCTGCTGAGTGCCACTGGGCCATGCTTGCTGCCAGACAGAGGGAAAGCAATTCCTTAGCAAAAAGCATCAAAAGCACTGAATGTGAGAGATGGTCCACACTCATCTGGGGACTCTAACAGTGATCATGGTCATGCTACACAGCTTTTACCACCTTTCAGTCACTGTCAGGAAACCACAGTATAAGCAGGAATAGTTATAAATATAGAGAATGCAAAGGAGGAGGCAAAAAAAATCTCTGCCATACAAAGCAGCAGCTGTGTTTTAGGTTAAACAGGGAATGGAAGGGATCAAAACTTGTTGGCATTTCTAACCAAACACCAAATTTTTTAGCGCCTTCTAATTTTGACTCTCCAGACCAGCTGGACACTATGGCTCCATTGTTAATTTCCCCTTTCTATACAGCCAGCTTACTTTCTCAAGTAATGCACAGCTACACATTGCATACCCATCCTCTCCATGTGTTCTCAAACTTTTTCCCCCCTCTTAGAGGGTAGAAAGTCTCTGCCACTTGAGCTGAGCCATCATTCTGCTATGCAATCACCCCTCCAGCTGTGCTGCCACAGGCATGACTCAGGTTGTCCTGCTCCAGTGACTCCAGGCAAGTCAGATGATTGCTTTTTGGAAATGGGAAGCTTTCTTAGCTATGTGCTGCCCGAATGTGGCTCTGGAAGATTTTTGCTGCTGGGCTGAGGAACTCAGGGGTACCAACTACAGCCCACCTTAGTCCCAACCTGCACTACTGTACTGGGTCTGTGTTGTGTTATCTCACTGCGCTAAGGAGGCCAAATTTGAGGGGAGGCTTCTTCCAGGCATGCATTTGTCCCCCTTCCCACCCTTACAAGGATTGTGTTAACTGTCCCCACGATTCCCTCCCGTCCCCCAGTAACATAAACCCCAGAACAAGCCACCCTGCAAAAAAAACGTTTTTTCCCAATTCCACTCTGAAGTTTGATCATCTTGTAACTTTTTGTGTTGCTGAGTTACATGAAAAGGCTGCTATAGTGAGGCCTGTCAGCAACATCTGCAAAGGAGGGAGAGTCACAAGGCTCCTGAGAGCCTTTCATCTAGGGAGCCACAACCATGGACTGGTGATGCTTGGAGCAGGTAAAAGGATGAGGCAAAGGCACAAAAAGATCAGGGAAGAAAAAAGCCTTCTTATTATTCTCTTTTCTTTTTTTGCCTCAGCTTTGCTTTAAAAGAGGAGACTGAACTACTGTCGAAGTCAATCCCAGGGGAGTACCTGGATTTACTTGCAGACAGAACTGCTTCCTCCCTTTTCAGGAAGGGAATGGAACAAATCTAAGCTCCTTGTCCGACTGCAGTGCATAAATTTAGATGCAGTGTCAGGGCCTAGGCACAAATTCCTCACTTATTAGGTAAGGACCACTGAATCATTTAATCTGCAGATAAGACTTGTCTAGGCTGATCCACCAGCACTGTGTGCTGTGCTTACACATGGAAGGCTTGTCCTGGCAGCTGCAGCCTGCTCCCAGTCACTGCATTACTATGAGATTTTGGTGGGGTGGTGAAGCAATGCTCTGGCCCTTGTCCTCAGAAGCTGTGGGTCCCCTGGAGGGACCAAGATTGTACTCCAGACACAGAGCAGGAACAACTAATGGAATAACATTTTGAAAGCCAGTGGCAGGACCTCTGTAGGAAGTGTTTTTGGGAAGGAGTTAAAAGGAGAGAAAATGAAGAATCCAGGGTGTTATTCAAGGCCAGGGGAGAGTTCTGGGTCACACCATGGAAGCCTGCTGGAAAACTGTACAGCTTTGCCTCTTTTGAAATCTGAAGCTGCAGTGAGCTGTGAGTAAAGACAGGATCAGTCTCCTTTCACTGGTCTCTGTGCATACAATATGTGGACCACACTTGCTTGAGAGGATGAAAGGAGACCCAGGGAAGTTACAAACAAGTTACTTGAGCCACTGACCCTGCATCTTGCAGGCTGCTTGCTCTGCCTTGCACTGCCTAGCTCCATGCCACAGGCTGCAGACACACAGCTGCCAGACACGATGCTCAAGCTCTGTCAGTGCCTCCTGCCTGGATCCCTCTGTCCCTCATCTGGGACATCTGGTCCTGTACAAAATGCACAGGGAACTGGATGCCAGCTGCACTGGGATGCAGTAAGGCTTTACCAGCCACAGGCATTCTGAGGAGTGCAAACACAGAAACCTGTGCCACGTGCTGGGCACAAGGGGAGAAAGCCTGAGAGCACTTCACAGTGCTGGGAGCACAAGGAGCAGCACCATGCCTCATCAGTGGGACAAAGAAAGCAGGGCACAGACAGAAGGGGGCTCTGGAGGCACTGCTCCCTCTTGCACCCATAGCAGTTGCATGACCCAGGCTGAAGAGCATTAGATAAGCAGCTGTGCATGAGAGGAACAGCTCTCGGCTGGGAGAGCGACACGCAGCCGCCAAGATCAGATGTGACTACAATGCATCACAAAGAAGCTGTGTTTTTCCATTCAGGAAACTGGAATTGGGTACAGATTTGTTTATCAGGCCAGCTGCTCAGCCTGAAGCAAGCGAGGCCCACGGACACCAGATGCCAGGGGCATCAATCAGAGCACCCTGACTTCAGAGACAGCTCGCATTTCTCACTGCGCGAGACAAACGGGCACAGCAACAGGCACATCTCCTCTCCTTTATTGCATCAAAAATTCAAAGTCGGTGCAAGTGAGGAGTGTTTCTCAGAAACAGCCAGAATTCCCCTTTGGAAGTGACAGTGAATGAGATGTCAGCAAAAAGTATGAAATGGAATGCCCATGAAACAGGTGTTCATGTGGCACTCAAATTGGTGACCTGTGAATGCTTACCACCAAACATTCCTCACTTGCATAGAGCCCAGCAAAGCCACCACGAGAAGAAAGAAGGAGCAGGAGATAGTGAGATCTTTCAGGACCCTGCTGTCTTTGAGATGTTTCAGATGCAGCCCTCACCCCCTTCAAGCCCCAAAGGGCAGCACCCCACAGGAGGCCTGGCAGAATGGTGGGGGCATGAAAATGAAAAGCTAGCTCTGTGACCTCCTTCACTCACTACCTTCTTGCACAAGCAAGTGGTGCCAGCTACTGAGCCTGCACAGACTGCTCCTTGCTTTGCCACGGCTTTTGTCTCCCTGCCTCTTAGGCTCTTCTTTCCCACCAAACAAGGGAGGTGGCCCATGTCAGTTGTTACAACAGGCTGCAGCAGAGATTGGTTTGATGTTTCAGACAGCTCTCTGACAAAGGCTCTTCTATTGGGAAGGGGCAGGGCTGATGGAAATCACACAGGCTGCAAGTTGCATTTTGATCTGTCTTTACCAGATAAATGTGACTGGCAGCTGGCAAAATAAGGCAAGAGCACCAACAGTCTTACCCCAGCAGTGCAACACACAGGTGTAAACCATGAAGTCTGCTGGCTCCTGACTGCATATGAATATGCTGGCATGGCAGATCAAACAAGCCTGAGACGGAGACGTGCCTTTGTAACTAGATGGTCATCTTTTCCAGCTTGCACAACTTAGTTTTAAGAATACTAGGTGGTTTTTTTTCCCTGTCTGGTATCAGCAGAGGTACCATGGTGCCAACTCAAAAACACTTGAGGCAGATTCACTGAAGCCTGCACAAGGAGGAATGAACTGCTCCTCTGGTCTGAGGAGCTGGGGTACCCCTTGAGGATGTGCCTGTAATCAGTAATACCTATTCCTGTTTGGTTTTTTTTTTTAAGGAGGAACCATGCTTTTCCTGTGAGAACATTTCAGAGAATTGTGCCAATAAGAACTGCTGACAAGGAGAGCTCCTTGAGTGTGGGGCCCATGCCTCTGCCTCCTACATCTCTCTCATACCTCATGAGCAGAGGTCCCCATAAAACAGAATGGTGAAAACTTAAAGCATGAAATGTATTTATCAGCAGCATGCAATTCACCAGCTCCTGGCTGCAAACTACCCCCAAGATTTTGAGTTCAGGAGGACGCAGGAAGTTATTATAGGTTCCTTCTCAGCAGAGGCCTGACACTGCTTTCCCTGAGGCTTTCCCACATATTTCAGTAGAAAAGCAGAAAGAAAAAGGGTTTTTCCAGTGGCTTTTTCAATTCTGACATAGTCTTTGAGCTGAACAAAGAGCTGGGGGAGATTCTGACATTTCAGAGAAAGCTGCAGACCGATATACAATTGCCCAAATTTCCAAACTGCACCACAGAAGGCCCTCAGAGAAAGCTTCTCTCCTCAGCCTCCAAGAGCCAAACAACACAGTAAATACCTGCTGAGCTTGGTGCCTTTATCATTCCTTACCTGCGCGAGGAGTCCTGGCTGGATCTGAAGAGGCTGGGCCCCAGGAGCCTGGGTGACAATGGGGACGGCGTTCTCCATCCGCACCGAGTACCCGGCGTGCTTCGAAGGGGACGCTTGTAACCCTGTTCCAGCAGCACACAAGGGACAGCATGAGCCACCAGCAGCACTGCCAGCAACAGGGGCTGGCTCTCAGGAGTCTAAAGGCACTTCCCAATGTCCACTTAAATTGCAGTGTTCAGTTCCTCTGAATAATCAGCTATCAGAGTGGCCACCTGTTCCACCCTGGCCCAAAGATGTCCATCAAATGCTCACAAAAATTATATGGGTATAAGGGTGCAGAAAAAACATTTCTGAAGGCAATAAGAAATTAGCTGAGTTGGGTATCTCAAGCGCATAGGAAATATTGCATACAATGTGCACAGGCAGAAAAGAAAAGAGGGGAGTGAACAGCTGCTCTTCCCCATATTCTCTGGTTTAACAACAAGAAATGGTCTTTATCAGCCAAAACCTCTTTTATACGAGAATGCTCTCTTTACACCAAAGTGGGATGGGAATCCAGAACTCCACACTCCCTCAGCCTTGATGGGGACAGATTTCCTCAGTTTCTTGGGACTCATATTTGAAAGGCCCTAGCATACCCCAAACTCCAGTCACTGCTGGCTGAGCCCCACATTAGCCTAACTGAGCTGGGGGAAGCTTCCCTCTCCAGCACCTCAGTGCATGGCACAGCCTGAGCTGTCTCCTCTACTTTGGAGCCTTCTCAAAGCAGCAAGCTGAGGATGGTCTCTTACATCCTCCACTTCTGAAGTCAAACCCTTGAGATGCATTTTAACTATGCTGAAGAGGTCTAGCTAAACTTCTCTAGTTCAAAAGAGCTTTGATAATCTTGCAGAACATTTAACAAGTGCCTGGAGACTAATGCACAGACAGGCTTGTAGATATGAAGAGCAGAAGTTGCACCAGCTGAACTGAGGTCTATTCAGATCACTTCCTACAGACACTTGGCAAGTTTTCCCAAATTGCAACAGCATGTAAAGTTAACAGAAGGACAAGTGGTTAAAACTGAGCATCTCCCAAGTTGTTTGACAATAGTTCCTACCACTAGTATACACAAGCAGAGCTGTTTGCAGCAGGGCTGGAGCTGAGGGAATTGCCCTCATAAATGGTCATGGCATCTGTTATGGGGGAGAACCCTCATATCCACAAGCAGCACGCTCCCTACTGCATTACCCTCATGAGTTCCCCTTCCAGCAATGAAGTCATTGAAATGTGACAGTATGACCCATTCCATACATATGTACTGATTTATTGGTATTGTGTGGGAAAGCTTTCAAGTTTACCAAAGTATGGCAGAAGATCCTTAAACTTTGTTCAGGGCAAAGAATGACAAGTACCACATATTCTCCCCCAGCCCCTTAGATCTTGCAGCATGTTAGAGGTGCCTGCAAGATCCTCTGCCAACGCAACAATAACCTTGCCGCTCTGATTTACTCGTCCAGCCCTTTTTTCTGCCACATGACCTGCACTGAGGAACTCCTTTCCAACAAGAGCTGGACGAAGCAGCAGGCCAAGGCCTGGGGAGGCCATCCCTTACCTTGGAAGCCTGGAGGGCAGACGATGAGGGCTTGCTGTAAGGGGTCTGGCCGGGCACAGATCTGCGCTGTTCCCGTCTGCAGGGGCATGCTCCGCTGGGCCACCGCAGCCATGGACGCCGCTGAGGGCTGGTAGAGTGCAGATTGGTAATTTAGTATGGAGACCTCGGGGTTGGCTAAGGAAATAGTGGCACTGGAGGAGGTGGGAGCCAGGTTGGTGGTCTAAAGGAATGACGGGAATTAAAACAAAACAAAAAAAAAACAAACAAAAAAATGAGGGAGATGGGTAGGCTGGAAGAAGCAAAATCCAAAAAAATAATGAAGTAAAGTAGTGTAAGATAAAATAAAAAGCAAACCGAAACAGCAAACAAGGGGTAGAACAGGACGCTGAGGAGTAGAGACAAGGGCAGTGCTGGGGGAAGGATCACAATCTGCCCGAGCGTGCCACTGCTGTACCATGCCATGGGACCTCCAGCCATACTGCCCAGAGACACAGCACATCCCCTACAGCAGAGCTGCAGCCCCATATCTCACCCAACTGCCTCTGATTTGCAGCAGGAGGAGGATGGGCTCAGAAAATGTTGCTATCCACAAATCACATTGTTCACTCGTCATGTACACAGCTCCAGAAGCTACTCACATTTCTTAGGTAAAACAGACTCAGCACCTCCACACCCTGTGAAATTTCATCCTGAGAGGGAAAATCCATTCTGGCCTTTCCCCGTAGATACCTTGTATCTAGGATGGCACATGCCCCTTGAATTATGTTTGGAATTTGAAGTAATCAGAAGGCATAATAGGAGGTAATGCTAATACTTGCAAAGTCCAAACTTCGCTTGAATTGTCTTTAAAATCTCTTAGAGCAGAAACTCCATTTAGAGATGTTTCAAAGCCAAGAAAATCAACCCAGAGTTCTGCAAAAATCTAGAAATCTGAAGACTTTTTAAAAATTTTATTTATTTGGACTGAGTCTAACAGTTGCAGGCAACTAGACAGCTCTGCCACTGCTCCAAATGTACGTTCTTAGCACACATTACCAGACCAGAGCCCATCCTTCCCTTGTCCAAATATGCCAGTAACACTGCTGGAGATAGGTCAGACAACATTTTCTCAGGGTGAATGTATGAATCCAGGAGGAGCCTTTGATCAAGTGCAGCAGAGAGTAGCATTTTGCACTGCACTGGCTGCCACTGGACCTACACTGCACTTCCACAGCCACAAAGGACGTGACAACAAAATATTTTCTCCTCCTCCTCATCTCCTCTCAGTGCAGGGGCTGTGCAGGGCAATCTGCTCTCCTGTGCAACACACTGAGCAGCAACCTGAACTTGTAGTCTCAGAAGCCATAACTGGAAAGAGGCAATCCCCAGATATTTTGCAGAGACAGGAAACAAAAGAAAGCCAAGACAAGTGGTATGTTGAAGAGAATTGTGAAAGGCTTAGACCTTGTTCAAATTAAAACATCTTTCCTGGAAATATTTCTGCCAATTCTTCTAGGAACATTGGGCATGCTGGTTCTGCTCAGAAAACACACCCCTTATGAGAATTCAGAAATGACCATGGAACTCCCCAGCCAACAGCTGATGTTAATATCAAGTGAAATGCAAGGAAATGAAAGCAAGTCTGCCTTTCCTACAAGTAGCTGTGGTACAAGCAGTGTCTCTGCCCTGCAGCTGGGGCCTAGGGGAGCACATAGCATGCATTTCTTTAGTCAGCATCTCAGAAACAGCCTAGAAAGGGAACTGGTGTTTGTAACTAGTACCCTCTCACACTAAGTCATGACCTATCTCTGTCTGTGCCTACCTGAGTTGTTTTAAAAGACCTTTTGGGATCACATGTATCAAGACCTGAGTCAAGAAGTCTGGTTTTCTCACTGACACAGGAGCATCCTGCACATCTACACAGACTCCTTTAGCTCCCTTCCTTTCCAAACACCATTTCCACAATGCCACCTGCACTCTCTAGAGTGAATCTTGAACAGCCTGTTCCCAAAAGGCTTCCTTTCACTGCTTGCAATTCAGTACCACAGCAAACAACTTAGCCACATAAAATCTGTTAATGCAGCACCCCCCAACACTGGGACAGGTAAAACTAATACAAAGCATGATTATAAAGCCAGAGCCCACCAAACTGGAGTGCAACGTGTTCACAGTGGGGGCACATGCACATGATCCCCACACCAACTGTGGTCCCTGGAGTAAAAGCAATGAGAGATAAGAATAAATATTATCACTAAACTCTTCTTTCTTGTTGAACAGTTACAGTGCTGTGTCTGTTAACAGAGGGTTTAAATTCATTTTACTTCAATGCCAATTTGAAGAAGAGCTGTAAGATCACAAATACTTCTGCCTGACCCAGGGAGTGAAGTACTGCTTGCTGCATTAAGGGACTAATGAGCTTTTCCCCATAGCAACCTCCCAAGTAAGCAGGATTTATCACCCCAACAACAACATAAACAACGAGGGCAACATTTCACAGTCACACAAAATGTCACAAGATTACTGCTTGCCTGAAGAAAAGAGAATGAGGAGAGGAGCAAAGGAAGGAGAGCAGAAAGGCACCATCTCTTGGCAGGCATGTTAAATGGGACGCTACTTTGCTTTTCATCTTCTAGGCCCTCCTGACATAAATGTTTCAAGCCCTGGCTGCTTGTGACTGATGGCCTCACCTGGTTGTGGACTGTGTTGAGCTGGTTGTTAAAAGTCATGGTCAGGTTGGTCGATGTACTTGGGGCCACGTGGGTGATGAATGGTGTCTTGCTCTGGTTCACCGTGTCGTACATATTCACCCGCCGCTTGCAAATCTCCATGTTCTGAAAGCAGGACTTGACACTGTGCGGGGAAAAGGGGGCAAGGAAGGCACAGAAAAATCAACCAAGCGACTCACACAGGTTACAGTTCATCACAGGGGCCCTGCAATAGGTCTCCATGGCAGGCTTAGCACTTTCTAGGCTCTTAAAGCCCTTTGCTATTTTATGTAGGTCTCTCTTAACTGTGAGAGTCAGAGTAACACTGCACTGAAGAAGGCCAAGATGAGAGCAGCTGCCCTGGGACTCCCAGGTGCTCCCACGGGTCTCTGCACTGCAATACAGGTCACTAAAGCAAGCAAATTTGTTGCTCTTTAGGGGACAGGGCAAGAAATACCAAGACTGAAAGAGACTGAGAACAAAAAAGAAAGAAACTTTTTTTTTTCCTCATGATGGAGCCTGAGAGGAAAACTCATGCTTTTTGCCTCAGTGTAAGCGTAAAGATAGTTTTATGTGTCTCTTGCAAGGAAAAATTTTACTGTTCTTGATCACTGAGACCCCCTAAAAAAGTCATCCTTGTTCCTTTTAAATAGTTGTTCACCAAGAGCTGAGTCCAGCTAAGCAGTTAAAACATTGCCCCTGTCTGGCTAAACGCCTGTGCAGATGCTTATCTCAAAGCATGACATCTCCTCTTGCAGTCAATGGGACAATTAATATCAAAAAGTTATTCCAAAGCAAATTTCTTAGTGCCCTGAGGGAATCTGGTTCTGAGGTTATCTCACACTGAGAACTGGATCTCTGGGGGAATGATTACAGCTTCTTCCTCTACACTGTCTTTCCCTTAAATGTTATTGATATAGCAATGGAAATTTTGAGAAGTATCCTATTTTGTGCCCCAGTAAAGGAGATTAAATACTCTCTACATTGCTAGAGCACAGCAGGCATCTGGTAGATTAAACTGTCCATATTTCAGTAATTAGAATACCAAAGCATACAGAGGTTAAGAGACAACAACACAGTGAACTTGGGCAACACTGTATTTTTAGTACAATCTCATTTTGATATCTGAAAACCAGTACAGATTTTCCACAATTCTTCCACAATAACTGGTTTTACAAATGTGACCTCAGAGTCTGAAACACAACCTCAGAAAGTACAAAGGTATTATTTTATTTCCATTATCCAAACATGAAGAAAGAGAAATTCTAAGCAGTAAAAATCAGCTGTATGCTGACCATTGTGTAATGAGCTGAACTGCTGGAGGTAGGGGGTATATCCTCACATCACTTTTAAGAAACAGTGGCCCTTCAAACCTTATATGATCCCTAAGGTTGATGAAGAGGACCTAGATCTTTTTATCCCTGTCCTGTCTCTTAATCAAATGGTCACCTCTCTTATCCTACAAGTAATATCCCTGGTAACTGGATCTGGGCCATGAACAACCTGCAGACAAGCCAGGCTCAGGACACTGTGCACAGCTGCCCATTATGTGCATTCACTTCCAGATCTATACCTGTTGGTCACAGAACATCCAGCAAAATCAAACACTTATCAAATAAATACAGAAAGCTATTGGATCACTTCTTTTCAGCCAAGTATAAATATAATTCTCCCTGCACAAAGAAGAAGGCACTGGGAGGAGTATAGGTTCTGTACATGGTGAATAGTGTGTGTCACCAAATGGTTCTATCTAACAAGAGGTAAGCTCTACAAATGCAACACCAAGTTCTCTGGCTTTACTTTAAAAAAAGGTGGGAGAAAAAAACAGCAGGGACAAAGCAAAACAGACAAAGTCAGAGGACAACTCAGCAATTTAAGAGCCAGGAAGTTAAATATGTGAAATGGGAAGCTAAGTTCACTTTGCTGTCTGCTTGTAAGAAAGCAGAACAGCCCCTCTTGCACTGCTTGAACTTGCAGCCTCTCTGAAACGTGCCACAGCAGAGATTCCTCCCAGAAGCTACAGCTTCCATATATTCTCACTTTTTCTGCTGCCCAATTTATTTCCAAGAGAGATTATAGCTCCCTGCATCTTTCAAGGCTTTGAAGTTTCTATTCTGCAAAGCACAAGTAATCACAGACAAAAGCTCCATCCACTTGCCAGGCTGGTTACAGCTTACTGCTCCCTCTGCCAGTCACTGTTTCCAGCATGGAGGGGCTTGTGGGGTTACACACCCGGCTGGCACACGCTTGGTATTCGGAGACGTGATGCTCAATTCTTTATTTGACTAAAATTCTCACTGCTGCTGGCCCCAATGATATTTTCAATCTTTCTGGGGCTTTGCCTGAGCAGCCACAAGTGAGCACTTCAAAAATGAAGATGTGGTTATGGACTGTTACGTTAGTGGAAAGATTTCTGACGGCAATGCATTAGCTCACGAATCTCTCCTATCTTACACAATCAGGTCTTGCACAGTCAGAAAGAAGGACTGCTGCAAATTAAAAGACTTTTGTCTATGATGCTCACTCAGTATTTTTGCTGTCATATTTTATTCATGAATTTTTTTTATATGAAACTTAACTTTTTTCCTGTTTAACACAACCATGCCCCATCTTGTTTTCATTTGTCACTTACTATCTATTTATAGGTAACAATGCACAAAGATGGCTGTGCAGGCTAAGTCTGGGTCTACACAGATCGTGCACCCACTACCTTCTGGTAAGCAGATGCTCTTATCTTGTGATAAATGTAACAAAAAGGCAGCTACAGCTCCTTCAAAGGGGGAAAGCTACCTTAAACAAACTCAAAATACTGCAGCCACCCATACAGGCAGGGGAGCTGACACAGTTACCTGTTGCTCTGCAGCTCTTCAAGCAGCCTCCTTTAATTTTGCACCTGAGCTCCTGACAGCCTTTAAAACACTCATGCAAATAGCACCCAATGAAAGTACAGCACTGTGCCAATAACTGCTCTCCTGTCAAGGGGAAGGGACAGCCTGTGAAAGCACCTGGATCTGCTAAGTGCTGTAAAGCAGGATGTTCCAAGATAAGTGTCCTGAATGCTTTGTAAAACTCCCACTATGTGTCTGCCTTCTCCACTTACACTGAGAAGCCTGTCCCTGTGTGAACTGGACATGGGCAGTGGGCTGGGGACAGGTACCCTGAATTTCAGGCTGCTGTGCTCTGTGATGCAGCCTCAGGAGAAGGGCAGTGAGGCTTGAAGATGTGACTTCTCATCTTCATCAGGCAGTGGAGCCTGTCCTCATTCTACATGTGTCAGATGAGATCAGAACGTGGTATTTAAGGTGACACAGGTGGACAACAACCAAGCTGAAATCTGAACTCCTCATCCTGGTGCTTATGCCTGTAAAACAGCCTGCTGCAGATCAGCTCTTCCCTTAAAAAGCAAACAGCCCCAAGCTGACTCCTGGCACGATGGGAAGGGTCGGCTCCCCGCTGCAGATAAGGTTGATTACTCCAGTAACAATCAGGACCATATTACTTTGAAATAGACTGATACTTTCAGCACTAATTGCATAATTTCTCCTGCATTTTAATGCAAAAATATGTAATTACTGAATATTTACATAATTAATGTAGCACACACTGCAGCGTTTTAAATGCCAAGCACCTACAACACAATTCTTGCAACCTTGAGTTGGCAATCATCTTTTTCTTCTAAGCAGGAAAAGATTAAAACTTAGGGATTAAACATCTTAAAAACCCCTCAGATACACTTGGTCTCCACCACAACCAGCTCTCCTTTTCAAAACCCAAGGGGAACAAAAGCCACGTACTGTGTGCTGTGAGGGAAGTCGAGCAAGTGCGTCATGGTGACAAAGGGGTGGCTCAGAGTTTCGATGGGGGTTATCCTCTTATCCGCGTCTATCGTCAGCATCTTCTTCAGCAGATCTATGAACTCCCGCCGGTCTGCCTTCTCCACCAACATATCGCTGCCCTCCAAATCCGTTGTCATGTTCACCTAGAGGAGAAGGGACAGGAGTGAGTGCTGAAGGGGAAGAGCACATGGTCAGGTCTCCGGCAAAATGTGTTCACTCCTCCTTGGAGCACACGCCCTGCCAGCCTCCCTGTCCAAAGGAGCAGCTGCTGAAGAGCCACGCTGTTGGGAAAGATGAAACAGCAAAGCCTTATAAATATGATTGTCTGGCAAAAGATTTTGAGAATATGGAAACTATAAGCGAGATTGAAGTGAAAGCAAGCTTTGAGATACCTTAGTTGCTGAACAACTGGAAAACAATGGTGTGGTGGACTGAAGGTAATCCCCTTTTGATGAAACAACACCCTCTGCTTGCAGACAGGCCCAAGGGTCACAGCAGACCCTACTAGCTTGGCAGAAGGGGTCCAAAGAGTAGTTTTTAGGGTTTAAAATGTAACACAGTATGGTAATGTAGTGTTTCTCATAGGCTGTATGTAAATGCTATAGGATTTGTATATTATACTAGATTGGTTAGGGAGAATCAGAATATTCAACACAGAAGAAGATTTATTGTATTGTAACGGGAACTTAGCACTCTTACCCCTTTTACTCTCTAATGCTTTTGCTCTCTTACTCTCTTTCCCCCTAATCCTCTCTACCCCTCTCTTCTCTCTGGCCTGCTCCGAGCTGTGGCTGGCAGCTCCAAACAGGGCCCTGGCACCCACCATCTGCAATAAACCACAAGTTCCACGACCTGGCTTCAGAGATCTCTCGTCTCAGTCCGTCCCGACCGTCCTACCCCCCGATGCTCCTACACCATGCCAGGCTCCGTGGTGGCCACTCATCTGGCTGGTGCATGTCACAGCTCCAGACAGACTCCTAAGTGTTCAGCTCGCCTGGGTCAGTGGCTAATGAAACACTTAGTCACCCTCCACTGAGGATGAACAGCTTCCATGTGGTAGCACGCAAGCTCTGATAATCACAGTATTTATCATATGCTGTGCCATTAGATACTTATCTATGTGTCCTATGAGCAAAAAATATATAAAACACATAAAAATTGTCAGTACGTTTATGAGAAACATCCCATTCATGTATCAGGTGCCAGGAATAAAGACTTGTTATATTATTTCATTAATTATCCGGTCTCCTCAGATTCCAGTCCTCCCTTCCTGCATGCTTACATGTTCTACTTGCTACAATGTCTAGACCTTGCAAGCACAAACTCCAGTTTGGTGCTAGTGTTGGGCCAGTTTAGCACACTGGTTTGTCAGCACAAACTCCTGTCACAGGAGTGGTTATGCTGGGATTAGCTCTCACAACGACAGGGAACTGACACAGGGAATTAGTACTTCCCATTCTTCCCCCAGCCAGCCACATTTTACAGCGAGCACACTCTTCTGTGGCCATGGTGAATATTTCCACTTTATTCCCTTTAACAAATGGGAATATTAAAGCACAGAGAAAGCAAGTGACCTGCCAGTGGTCATACAGAAGAACACTGGAAAGACAAGAGAAAATGCAGGATTTGCACACTCAAGAGACATGCCTTAGCCACTTTCCAAGGCTTCTTTACTACAGCACACACACCCCTAGGAGTGACTGTGCGCAGTCACTCCTACAAAGCAGCACATAACAGCGAATTTCATAGGCATAATCCTGGTGTTTTTCAGGAGTTGGCCCCAGAATAGGATACACAGAGAACTTGCATAATTCCTTTTTATTAGTGTTGCTGGAAAGCATGCAAACAGTCTTGCTGGTTACTCACCAATGCTCTTACCTGTGCCATATCATCCAAACAGTTGAAAATATACTTTCTTGCTTCCTTGGACTTAATCCCCGTCTCTGCCTCATGATCATCTGGCGTCTGCTCAAAACAGGACACAGACATTGACCAACACTGCCCTGCAACCAGCTGCAGATTATGTGCCACTTCCCACATGTGCCTCATCCTGTCCTCATCAGGGACCATCCTGCCTGACCAGACACCATTTACACCATCTCCACCATGCTTATGTGACATCTTTTATGTCACAAGGTGATTTATCTCTTGTTTCACTTCTGAGGGTCCTCCCAACTACGGTGGGTCTCCTACATCCACCCTGGTGCTGAGGTACAGCATCCCATCCCAGCCAGAAGCATACTGGCCTCTCTCCTTGGGGACAGCATGCAGCCAAACCCCCTGGCACAGGACACTCAGGGCTCACCTGCTTTACTCAAGGTTTTGACTGTAGAACTAAAATGCTTGCCTTTTTCTCCCCCTCCACAATGAGTTAGATATTAGAGCAAAGTCTGCCCACTACGCACCAAATAATTGACTACTAATAGGAAGATTTCCAAATCAACTCTGGATTTCAATTTCCTACAATGCCAAGCAGGTGAATTATGGGCTCCAAATTTTGGGGATGGCAGTTTTACCTTGGGCAGTACCCACCCCTATGTCTGTGCTGCACTGCAAAAAGCAGAAACTCAGGCTCTGAGTGTCTCCTCACTTCCAACCAACAACTGCAAGGTAAAAGAAACAAGGGAATGTCTTCCTACCTTCAGTCTCCACAAGGGATATGGTGAGTCTGTATCCCTGTTGAAAAACCTCGTGGTCTTTGTCCCTGCACTTAACAAGTACTCTGCTGGTAAGCCCTGTGTCTGTGAAATGTAGCGAATCTGCAAGACAAGGATGAGAGGTTACTGTTCATCCTGTGAAGGTCTCTGGAGGTCTTCCTTGAAGGAATTCAGGAGGCATTTGAACCAAGAGAACAGACAAAAAAAGATGTAGCATGTAGAGAAACTTCATGCCATAAAACTCAGTGCAAGGAATGAGAGGAAGAGAATTTCTGAATGGAATTCCCTTCATTTATCACATACATCACTGGAAACTCACACTTAGAGTGCACTCCCACAAGTCCTAAGGATGAAAAGAAGAAAGTTCCTAAATTTATAAAGTCCAAAGAGAAGGACCCACACAGTGATTTCAATGGGATGTCTCAACACTTTGCACCCTCTCCAGGACGTCATTTCAGCAATTTTATATTGGCTCTCTAACTTCTGCTGGTTTTCTTCCACCTGAGCACACAGTCTGTCCTAGGAGCATCCTGAAGTTCCAAACAGGATTATGAAGTGACTGCCTTTGAACTAAGGTGAAACATACACTCAAACCAACTGATGGTATGGAAAGTACTTGTCTCTACTGACTACATGACGTTATTTGGGATGCATCCACAAGCATGACCTCATTGGCACCCACACAGCTAAAAGATACTCTATTTCTTTTTTCAGAATCTCAAACTTTTATTTATTTATAAAGGAGAAAGAGTCTGTGATTACACAATTAAAGACTAATGTCACACATGCCTGAGGTGCCACACAAAACCTTAACTTTGGCACCTCCTGTCTCCTGCATGGCTTCATTCTGCAAAAATTGCTGCAAACTCTGCAAAACTACTAAAACCAGTCACCTACTCTCAAAAATGCTAGGCAAGAATGGAAAGTGTTTTTGAGAGAAGAAACAGAGAAGGATAAAAACATTAAATATGTGAAGGCATAAAAGCATAAAGAGCAGCCGTGCTTTCAATCACTTCCTAGCACTCAGGCCCTGGTTCACTGTGCATGGCTTGCTCAGCTCTGCAGCTCCTTGGGTCCATCAGAGCTCACACACCTCAGAGGCACCTGGATCCTGCCAATCCCAGCCAGGATCAGCCCCTATCCCTTCCCCAGCTCCCCAGGAGCCTGGTCACACTTTACCAGAGGAAGCTTTGTGCTGGGCAGTTAAGCTGGCCACTAAGGTATGGTGATTTCTTTTCCAGCTGTGGGTTTTATGGCTTTTGGGGTGCAATGGGGAAGAGAAAGAAATCTACTTTTCATGCTTGGTATGCGATTTTCAAACGCTTGTAAGTTTCTCAGCTACATTTGATTTCCTTTAGAGTCACTAATAGCCCTGCTCTTTGCTGCAAGTTATTTCCCCTGCCAAATTTTACCTTTAGAGCTCTGATTAAAAAAAATACTGGTTTCAAAAGAAAAGTCAAGAAAACATTTCAGTATGTGAAAAACTTATTTATTTTCCTGCCTTTTTTTTTTCTTTCCTTTTTTAAAAAATTTATTTCCTAAAAGAAAAAAGACCCTTTTCAGGCTGCATTTTCAGACAGCTAAGATCAGCCTGAATACTGTGGGAATGCAAAGCATTCTACAGCCCTGGCTCTAGCTGCCGCTGCATTATCGGTTTTAGGACTACAAAAAGGGCATGAAAGCCTATAGGGAGAAAAGGAATGACAGCTTATATTAACTGGAAACCTACATCAATGCCAACATTCTCCTTCTTGTCATTGCTTTTAATATGCACTCTCATAAAAGGGGTTATGAAATGCAGCTGAGTTCATGCAGTTTCTTCTAACAAATAAGGCTTTATGCTGCACTTGCTGTTACAGCAGAGAACGGGTGCCTGCTCTGCTCAGTGAGGAGGGACATGCACAGAGCTCTCCAGTCAATGGCAGCATTGACTCTTGATTGAGATTTCACTCAGGCAGCCAGGTCTTAAAAGCCAGCGTACCAAGCTGCACACTGGTTTACCTGGAACAAACACCCAGGTGCATAATGACAATGTTGACTTGGGAGAGCAAGAAATACAGATCCATCATTACCCAAAGTGAAAAAGTTGGCATCTGCTCACTCTGACAGGAGAAGAGAAAGAGATGTGTGCACTTACCAGCACCCAGGGCAATATCCACACCCACCTGATCATACTCTGAAGCTCCTGGGTACAAGGGCCAGCCCAAGAACAGCTCTGCAATGACACATCCCAATGACCACATATCGATTGCTTCACAAAAGGGTAAACCGAGGATGATTTCAGGGGCTCTGCAAAGAAAGAGGTCAGAAAACATCAGCAAGGAGGGGCAGACCTGCTCAGCTGGCTTTGGGCAGCTGGTGCCCACTGTGACACTCACAGAGCTGCCACCAACAAGTGTCACTGCTGTGACAGAGCTGAGGGACTCACTGGTCACTGGCACAGTGCCTGCTACCCAAACATCACTCGGTGAATATTTAGCCTTACAGAGGAGTACTGTGGCCTTATACAGCCAAGAGACAGCCTTATATCTGGCAGCACTTTGTAAAGGAGGGAACTACCCCTGCTTTCATCCAGCAAGTGGGAATATGAAGGCACCCAATCAAGCCCCCAGTCGAGGCTCTCAGGGCCAGCTCGCTGTCCTGTGGAGAACTGTGCAGATCCCCTGCAGTGAAGCATCCTCTGTTCACACAGCTCCGTGGGCTCACAAACAGCCAGACATTAAATAATCATTACAGGACTGGTATAAAAGGATTACCGACTTTTTAAACAAATAGCTGTAACAATAAAACAAAGAAATAATTTAATTAGATCTATTAGACCTAAGCCTTTTCCTCAGGAGGAAGTAGCCAAGAAGCCTTCCTTTCCCAGTCTGTCCCAGGCATCTGATTAGATTTCCTTTTCCCTTTCAGCCCAAACAGCCAAAATGCAGCAGCTCACTGGCTCCAGGAGATGACACCAAAGCACCTCTGCTCCCTCCCCTTCCAGGGGCAATCTGTCCCACTGCCTTGGGGTGGTTGGAATCCATCTCCACTGATGCTGAAAAGGTCTGTAGGATGAGGTTAGATGAACTTGCTCAGCTCCAGTGGCCAAGGTGAGATGAGATGAATCCTGGCCTATGTGCCCCAAACGTTCTGCATTTCAAAAACTTCTGTGTGAAAGAACCAAAAATATTTTCCACATACTAAAAACCTTATCACACAAACACCTTCCTTACTTATCCCACCTCTGCCTAGATGTCCACATGCAGTTATATGACACAGTTCCTATTTATACAAGAATCTCCCAAAGCTTCTCTCCCGTTCTTGCAATGCTTCTAAAGCCCCAGCTTCTGGTGTCATGGCATGTACAGCAGAAGAATAACTTACTCACCCATACTCCTCTAACTATAAAGAAAGAAAAACCAGAAGACAGATAAAATAAACACACACTGATTTAAAATTTTCATAATTTTAAATACAGCCTTGGGATTTCTCAGGCCCTTATGCATATTTTGGAAATGCCTGGGGTTGGCTATTGAGCAAATCAAGTGCCACCAAGCAAAGCTCGAAATAGGACCCATGGTTCCCAGTTCCCCATTTGTCATCAGGATAAGATCTGACACTAGTGAGATCATACTAAGGATTACCAATTGCAGTGGAAAATATTATGTTTTAATCACACTATTACATAGTCATGTCAAGACAAGTCTTCAGCCAAGAAACCAAGCAAAATGGTGATTTTTTTCCAAAGAAGCAAAGACTCTGTAGCAAGAATCCCAAGTTTTAGGAGACTTGTAATGATAAAAGTCCCAAACTACCTCTTCTTAAACCAGCAACGCCAAACATAAAAATTACAGGAAATTCTGGGATTTTCAAGTTAGAATTCTTTGTGCCATTCCCACAAAAACAAGTCAGAAACTTAAAAAGTCTTTACCCCTTCTAGCTTCATCTGTGCTTATCATTGTCATACCCTACTCCTCTTTAGCCCACTGTGACAAACTTTTTATTCTAACAGCAATCTCTCCTCATGAACAAGGGGTTAATTTTCCTCCTTTCCTCCCTATTCCGTCATCCCTGTCATCCCTACACACTACCCGACACCTAGACAAAATGCAGAGAGAAAAAGACAGCTATGGTGACCTGAATCTCATTACTATGTAAATCCTGCATTCAAAGCCATCTGCCTCTCCCTGCCTGCCTTCCACATTGTGAGGGAAATGTCCCTGGTCACTAATGAGAGCTCAGCCACAAATCGCCTCAACTTCAGATCCCTCCCACTAACTCAAGTGGAGGGGTGGACTGTAGGGATATTCCCAATGTGATTTTGTGTGGAAAACTCCCTGTGCATAAAAAACTACTTGCACTGCTGTCATATGCAGCACACACCTCCCCTCCTCTCTCCCCACACTTAGGCTGCCAACACCTTCAGACCCCTGCAAGAAGGGATGACCTAGAATTTGAGGCTCCAAAATCTCTTTTTTTTTTTTTTTTGTCTCCTGTCAAGTGGGTTTACCTGAAAGCCCCACTTTCTGGAGTAGTAAGGAGAGAATTCCTTTTTTACACACAGAAGTTTTCCAACTCCGCTATTGGGGAGAAAAGCACAAATCTATGTCCACATTATTTAAACCGAAAGAGTGCAACTAAACAGAGCATCACTCATTCCATGAATTCTAACAATGGTGAGAATGCCTGTGGGAAGGGGCTACATCTAGGTGATAGGCTGCCTTACACACACCACAGCCACCACTTGCTGTGGTTTTCTCCCAGCCTTCATGTAATCATTGTGATTTTTCCATGGAGAGGGAGTGGCCCTAAGACAAAAAAAGTCTTGTTAACTTAATTAAACAGTCACTAAGACACCTCAAGAACAACAGGTAGTGGATGCCACATAGGATTCCAGATTTTCAACGAGCAGATACCTCCTGTTTGGTTTGAGAAAGACGGAGCTGCAGTCACCAGGAGCAGTGCTCTGCCTGCCTGAAATGGCCAATGCCAAGCATTTTGGGGCTGGATGCTATGAGCTCTGTAATGAAATAACCTGTCCACTGACAGAATACCTTTGAATCTCCACTGTGATGGATATTGTTCTTTATTCTCAGTTATGGATGCATACATCCTTCTGCACATGGTATCTAACATACAACTCCTCTCTTTTTCAACATAAGCATGTCAGTTTTTTAAGACAAGGTGAGATCTTGACTTCCATCACATGTTATGGCACAGAGTTCCACAGGCAACCTTCTGCTTTCAATAGCATCTTAACTCAGCTTTTTAAAGCTTGATTTTCCTTCATCAGGTTTAAATTTGTCACCTCTCAATTTGTGTTCACATAGATTGGTTTAGAGGTGAAGATGGAAATGATTGCATCACCTGTCCTTTACCACAAGCTGCTTTTATATCTTTGCCTTGCTTTCCCATGTCTGCAGCAGCTTCTGCCTTCTCACTGTACCATCCCATGGATGTTTCAATCCCCTTCCACTGCCTGACCCTGCAACTCCTCTTCCTGACACAACTGCTTGGAGACAGGCTGAACAACCCTAGAAAGAGTTAAACACCAGGATATTCCCCAGACTTATTTTACACTATTTGCAGAATGCTTTCGCGTTCCAGTCTTCCCTAAGCTTAATATTTTGTTTGCTTTTGGAGTGACACAAGGCATTTCAGCAGATGTTTTATCTGGGAGATCCTCTGAGACACACAGTCCTTCCTCCAGAGAAGCTGCAGTTAATTTAGGACATAGAATTATGCAGAAATAGCTCATTTTTTCTCTTCCAATGTTTACTGCCTTTCGGTACTGCACTGATCTAGCATAATGTTTTCTGTAATCTAGATCAAGTCCTTTAAATGCTCCTTGCTCTTTTCTGCAGCCTAACCTAAGACAGTATGTGGTCTATTCATGCTTGAACATTTCACTACTTTTTACAGATAATTATTACATTAAATAACTCTGGTCCTAAAATGCACATGCAGTCCACTCCACAACTGACCCTTGTTTTCCTAAAAGCACTCAGATTTAGCTCAGCAAAAAAAAAGGTGTAATTTTCTTTCCCAAAGGGAAAGAAAACAGTTTCCATGTCTTCAACAGTTCTTGTGTGGGATTTCTGCATTCTGCAGCTGCTAGCACTGTGTGACAAGGGAAAGTGCCCTATGAAGATGTGCACATTCAAGTATTGCAATCATAAATGGGAAGGACAATTCATGTGGCAGCAGATCCTCCCAAACAGCACTGAAATCTTCAGCAGATCTCTCCATAACTACACAGAGAAGTATCTTCTGTACCAACAATACAGGTTTTTTTAACACAGACCCACCAAACCCTTCGATTGTGGTGAGGGATCCTGTCTGACAGCACACAGTGGAGCCAGCTGCCAGACACCTCAATGCGTGCAGGAACATCCCCAGCTCCTGCTCTCCATCCATTTCTTGGCTGTGCATCTGCAACACTCCTGGCACAGCAAGTCCTGCCTCCAGTACAAGGCACGCAGAAGGAAGACAGAAAACTTTGCCCTCCTGTCCTTCCTCTCCCATGAGCTGCTGCCTTCAATGTCTTCCAACAAAATGCCCTCCCCTTCTGTATGCACAGGCACAACCTGTTCTACTCCTCACACAAACCTCACCAGCACAGACCAAAGCTTTAGAAACCACTTGCCACCAGCCTGGGAAAGACTGAAGAGCCCTGCCAAGAGCCTCTATCTCTAGGACAAAAGCAGCCATCCCATGCCCACTTCCCACATCCCTACTTGTTACTTGCCTGGACAGCAAAGGGTGACCTGCTCCTCGGCTCAGCAGTGAGTCCAGTCAGTCCCCATCCTTTGGAGCCCAGCTGAAAGTGCCTGTGTACACCACAGAGCTCTGGTGCTGGTGCCCTGGGCAGCAGGGTCCCCGTGCTGGCAGCACCTGCAGGTCCCCAGAGGCAGCAGTGCCACCTCATCATTTGCTTGCACCTCACACACGACCTCGTCCTGCTCTCAGGCCTGCTGCTGGCAGAGTATTTACTTTAGCAACCCTGCTTTGTGGCAGGGTAATTTCATTGTCTGGTGTTTCTGTCAGGAAAATTAATTACCAGTCTAGCTTGCTGGCTTTTTCACCCACACATCACAGGACATTAAAAACAGATGCCAAAAAAAATTCATTTCCACAGACTCGGATTCCGAGAGCTGGGCTCTTTCTGAATTTTAAAACTTCCCTGCAAACTACCCTCCTCAGGGATAATTTACCACCTTTGGTAGGATCTCATGGCCAAGTGTGATAGTCTCAGCTGAGTCCTTCATGGACAAGTATAACCTCAGACAAAATATAACTCAAAGCTT